TACGTGATAAAAGATTTAAATATGTTATTTGGTAAATCTCATATTTTCGCTGAGTGAAGGATTATAGATTCTTTTACTCATATCTAAGTTTCACTCATAATACATCTACATGACCCCTTTAGCAAGAACAACTATTACATGTATTTAAAATCAGAATTAATTTTAGCGGTAATACATAAAATCGCAATAACCCATCACTTACAGCAAGGTCACCCAAGTTCAAGAATGAAGGGCGCAACGTCCGCTTTCATCTTGAACCGAACCTTCAAAGGTTGCGCTTGCGCTGCCCTTTACTTAGGGATCTAGGCTGATGACACCCTTTCACGTGACATGTGACCCATTCGTAAATGTAAACGCTGAATTAATTACGATGTTTATTTACAATTATTTGTATATTATATTCATGATTATTATTTTTTAAAACTAGTGTCGGAGATTTTGTCACAAAAATTTAGTTCTGTGCTTGAATCTCGCAAGAAAAGATTTCAACGAGTTCCTTCAAATTATTTTGTAAAATTAAACAGACTTTATTAAATACGGTTTACTAAATTTGTCCTCCACAATGTCCTTATATATTTATATAGCCTTAACTCTATGTACAATAAACAAATGCTTCCATGATACAGGAGGACAGATAAGTCTGTGGCATATGTGGTAAGAAAAACTATTTTGGCAATAATAATATTTGAATATCCAAAAGATTCGAAAATCTATAGACTGAAACCAAACTTCACGTGGTGGACGGTAGTTCGTGACCCGGATGGAATTTCGATATGCCTACAACCCAAATAATATCCAGAAATGCCAATAAAGGTTGCTTTTGCAGTTTAACTTATAAACTAAAAACTATTTTAAAAGTAAAGTACACAATTTTAAAATAGGAACCTATTTTAAAATCGTGTATAGCCATTTCAAACGTAGAAAATCTCGATCTAAATTAGCATCGTCTTTTCGTAAAAAAGGGAAAAGTATCTTGTTGCGTTGGTTTTTATTTGCGCTGGAACTATAAATAGTTGCTCTCATCCGAGTTTCTAGGAACGGAGCAAGAGGCGTGTGTGACTCGTCGCGACGGTATAATGCGTGCGAACTAGGTTTCTATTTGTCATTGTTTCAGATTATCGCTTTATTATATGAACTTGAATGGAGCGGTGTGATACGTTTGACGTCTTTCGCATAGGAACATCTTGAGATTCCAATCTTTTTAATAGTTGAAGTTTAGCTTGCTTAATTATTGAGACTTATTCGTTAGAGTCAAGTGTGATCTTCATCTTATAAATTGAAGTTTATAATCTTGTATTAGTTAAGAATAAGCAGTTTTGAATTTGGAAGGCTATCTTAATTGACTTCCATTGACCATAGATATATAAAAAACAAGGTTCCTATTTTAAACATAACGAAATTTAAAATATTGTCTGTAAAATTGTTCTAATTTCAAATACATATTTCAAAATTATATTGCCATACACTTCAATAAATCTACGAAACGCTAACATAACGCTTCTTTATTAAATTATTAGCGACATATTCTTATAACGTAAGGTTAAATAAAAATATTTTAAGTAGAAGTGTATATAATATTTTTACAATTATTCACATTAAAACTGATTTAAATAATAAGCCCAATGAAAATTTTCTAATCTATAATATGCTATTATTCAACTTAGACACTTATATATCTATCAATTTTGTATGTGAGTACAATTAAATTTAAATCAATGAAGTCTATATTAATTTTCTAAATGCACCTACATACTCGTCAGCGCCTAGTTTGTGCATACAAGTTGATAAAGACGTTGCGATGCACGATGCTCGGAGAAATCTGTACGTAAGTGGGTTGAAGAAAGAATCTGCGACGCCGGTACAGACAGCATATTAAGCTAATCGTAATAATTTGTAATACGTTTTATATTATTATTCACGTTCTAATCCGAACCTTGTTTGAGATTAGAGATAATATCGAATTAAAATAACTTAGTGGTTGTTTTAATTTCCCTCGTGGTATTTCGGAAGTGATTCGGTCCCAATAGTAAAGAAGTTAAATAACAGTGAATAGGTAAGAAAAATAAAAAATAAGGACATGTGTATCCTTTGAAACATTCTATTTTATATATAGCGATTAAATACTTTTTTGACAGGCTCATTAGTCTAATGGTAGCAAGGTATAATCAACAGGCCGGGGTTACGATTCTCACTGGATCCAACACTTCTCTAATAAATTTATAATTTTTTCGGAATCATGTCTATAGTTTACGCGAGTAGTACACATTTAAATAAAACACTATAACGGTTTAAAACGCGATATATTAGTTAAACTCATTTGAAAATGATTTTTAACTTCGGCCCGACGTTTCGTATGCTTTTGTCTCCCCGTGACCACGGCTGCTGCAAAGCATCCGAAACGTCGGGCCGAAGTTAAAAATAATTTTCAAATAAGTTTAACTAATATATCGCGTTTTAAACCGTTAAAGTGTTTTATTTAAACGGTAGGAATATCGTACATTTCGTCAGAATCACGAACCACCATGCACAGATGTAATAGCCCTCTTACGTCAAATCTAATCGACTGCATATCTTGTATAGATGGTATATGGCTCCGGTATTTCACCTACCATCATATGGACCCCATACTTGTCTGTCCTCATCTAATATAAAAATGCATTATTTGAAATCCCCTTGCTTAGTATTATTAAAGGATTAGAACGTTTTAAATAAGTAAATTTCGTTTCGCAACAAACTCAATTGTTATTGAGCTAATCAGCCAATTTTGACACCTAAATTTCTCAATGTCAAAATTATACAACACAAATCGATCAACCCGTGTTTAGTGCCGGAACGAATAATTCTATTCGAAAAATAATTAATTTTGATTGTGAAAAACATTTGATTTTAAATTTTTGAAGTCTATTATTATTATTAAATCATTATTTGCTAATAGGATTAAGAAATAGGAAATTTTATAAGCTTAAAGTGTGGACGGTAACGGTATTGAAGTCGTTTCACTCACGTGGCCCTCAGAAAGTTTACTTGTCCAAAAACTTTTTATTTTATTTATAAATTCGAATTAATTTTTCTTTTGTTCCACATTACCTTTAAAACCCTCTATTTTAGTATAAAAATTTTAACAAAAAATCTCAATTTATTTTAATTAATTTAATTTTACTTACGAAAACTGAAGATTATTAAAATTACGATTAACAGTACGCGTATGTTAACTATTATAAATATTTAAAATATATATTTAGTACAATGCTTACGATAGTGTGGAAATTCGTAGTGTAACGTGATACGAGATATACACAAAAAGTCAATAAATATTAAATCTAAGCTTAAAATTAAAAAGGTACTTATTTGTCCAGACATTGTAGGAAACAACGAGCGAAACAAACAGGCGAAATTTTTACCTAATTACCTAAAAATGTTTACCACTAAAAGTGATAAATTTTAGTTTATTTTCCATAAGCGTTTCAGTCGTGCATTAAACCCACAATTGTAGAACGGAACCTTTTGTTTTAAAGGCTTAAAGTGAAGTGAATCAAACAGTTTTGTATTTAAAATGATAAAAATATTTTTAGGATTCCGCGCCAAATTTATTGTTATTTATATAAACAGAATGAATTTTTATACATTACAATGTATAAAAAAATTCATCCGTGGCGAGTGGATACAATTAAATAGATTTAAAAAAGTGTTGAGAAGTCGCAATATTGTTATGGATTTTCCGTTCCGTTTGAACTATTTGTTTAAACCCAATATCAATAAGTCTTACGTAGTAAGTACATTTTGGACGGCATAAATATGAATATTTACAAATTTCAATATAAAAGATCTAGCTTTAAAATAAAACAAAGTTAAGTACATCTGCAAGCTGACAGAACCACAATTGATTGCTGATACTAACATAAATATAATTACTAACCCTGTCCTTAAAGATATATCAAATGATAAAAAAAACTTAAAAGTGGAATAAGTTAGAAGACTGATGTGTCGTGAGAGAAGCTTTTAATGAATGAATGTATTGAAAAAAAAGAAAGTATTTAGTCTATACAAACATATATGAAGTGATGATTAAGACATATACTACGTTTACGATTTAAAAAATAATATTGTATATAAATGCGACAATAACTCTACAATTAACCTCGCTGTAGTCTAAAATAATCAAACTAAAGTGATACAATGATTGTTCTATTTGGTAGTAATCCATGTCCTAGATTGGAGTTGCGCAAGAGCGGATCGTTGTTATTACACTAAGTTAGTTTTTCGATCATTTCCCGGACACGACGGTTCCGCTCATGCGCCTGCGCATCGCAAGGATCTCGGGGCCATCGATTATTATTATTTAATTAGTTGGGATTGTTAAAATATTGGATAAATTAAAGTTCAAATGAACAAAGCAAGATGTACGGAATATGATACATAAATATAGCATATAGTGAATGAAAATTTGTTAGTAAAGTGTTATCAAAGTCAGGTATTCGAGACCACACTATGAATGACATATTAAAACTATAAACTCAACTGGGAGTGATATTTAGCTAGCCTCGTAAGCTTTGTCTTTGTAAAATTATACAAAATAGTACCTAACAATATACACCATAAAGCTAATTAATATCTTTTATAAATTGACTATGAATAGGTAATCAGAGTAAGCATTCACACTTGAAAAATATAAATTAGTTGAAGAGTGAAGAAGTATGTTGATTGTTCATACCTACATTACTCAATCGGAATGAATCGATTAACATACATTTCATACACGACACGCAATGAACGTAACTTAACTACACAACAAAATTAAAAACAATATTATCTACATATAAATCTGAAGAGCTTAAAACTAGATAACATTGCACTTTTCCTTAGGAGATAACTACAGGGTTAAATTGCTAACTGTGTTAGAAGACAATGACAGTTAAATCCAATAGTCCTTAAATAAAGACACCACGCGCTCACAAACACACAACTACAACTACGAAATGCTTTTTGAGCTAGAACCCGGCTTAGTCTCTACCGATACGTTTATGGATTTGCTGATGTTTAATGAGATGAGCCTTTTGTCTGAAGGCTTTCGCACACACGTCACACCTAAATGGCTTCTCGCCAGTATGCGTTCTGAGGTGTACTTTAATATTGGATTTATTCAAGAAACCTCTATTGCAAATGCCGCATCGGTGGACAGGCTTTTCTTTCCCTAAAAGTCCGCTTAGCTCAGCCGATGTCGCTGATGAAAATGCCAGAGAACTGCCGTGTAAACTCGCACCGTTGTTCCCCTGTTTTGCTTTGGCACGACTTCGTTTTGATTTACTGGATGGTGTTATCGTCGTGGTATGTGCGTGGGGATAACCTAGAAGCCTGTCCGGACTGCATAAACCATCAGGTTTCAGGCTGAGGCCGTAATGGGGGCCATACCTTCCGTTGAGCAAACCACCGACGCCATCCGTCGTAGATACTGCGTTCCCGGGGGGTGACGACGTCGATATAACCTCCATCCCATAGCTAGTTGAACTCGGTGCTTCTTGCTTCACTGGCGGACCGTTTTGCAATCTGTTTTGAAGCAATGGCATATACCCCTGGGTCAATAAGTTTTGAAGCGTCGATCCTGCCTGGCCGAAGTTGTTTTGAAAAAACTCCTGCGTTTTCGAGTACTTCTGACTTTTACTGGCATAATCTAAATTTTGTTGGTGATTCGTTTGTGACGGTGGTGGTGACATGGACAGGCCCAAGTCTGAGAGGTCTTGCGTGATAGGAATTTTTTCACCATGTTGACTGCTGGCACTCGTTATCCAGGTCATATCTATATCCATCCAGCTGTCCCTAGAATCATTTCTTTCGGGGTCTTCCGGTTGCGATGGAACAGTAGTATCTGCTATAGCGGAGCCAATAATTGCAGCGATGTCCTCTATTGAACTAAGATCGTACATTTCTTGTTTGGGAGCGTCGTCAAATATTTTGGTTGGAGGTGAGCAAGACTGAGCACACGAGTCCGCCACACCGGGTCCTGATGATTCCGCGAATGGTTTCGTATCGGCTACATCTAAAGGGAACGGTTTGACGTCTTCCAAGTCAGGAGGCTCAGAGTCTGTAGCGCAGGTGGAAGAGGAGACAACTTCATTGTCGCCATAGCCGCTCTGGGTGGGGTAATTGTTGTTTTCTTCTGGAAGACGTTGGGCGATAGCGTGGAAATGATGTCCGGAGATTCCATTGATGGAGAGGTGTCCTGTGTAGCCGGTGAAGGGGGGAAGGGGCTTGAGCTCCGCGAGAGGCGGTGGAGCAAGAAGCGAGTCGAGCAGCTCGTGACAGGGGGGCGAGGCGGAGTCGTGTTTAGGATCAAACCAGCAGGCGCCCAGCAGAAGCTCGCTGGGGCCGGGCGGGCCGCCCGTCACACCACCGCACTTCATGCCGCGCCTCACCGCCACGCCGGACCCGACAGTCACCCCGCCACCACCATACTTGGATGCCGCCACCCTGCCGCGCTATCTGTAAACGAAATCATTTCATAAATGGACAGAATATAACAACTTTTTAGTTATTTACTAGAGGAAATTAAAACATAAAAGATCTTTGGAATTTCCTGCCTATATATTATCGCACAAAATAAGGTAGGCAGCTATGAAAGAAAAAAAATTCAAGGTTCAAGGCATCTATAGAAAATATAGACAATAAAATAAAGACAAAAACGATATTGTTAGGGTTATAATACTAGATAGCAAAAGGATAAATTATACCTACATGTGACTGAGACTTTAAATTAGCGGATATCATAAATAGATTTTTATTAAATTTCGTAGTTTAAAGCAAACATTCATCCAGTTAATCATAATCAAAAGTAAAATCCAGTACAATTTGTATTGTTCTTATTGTATTTTATGTGTTTCAAAAGAATATTGTTTGCTTTTATAATATTCTGTATAATAGAAGTAAGCAATCGATAATGAAACAGAGATATTGGCGTTAAATGCCAACCGTTTACTGCTCGTGCGCCGATTCGCATCACTTACTATCTATGCTAAGATATTTGTACTACCTATGTACTATTTTTATTTCTTACAACTACGTTCTATTTTCAGTATGTCGTCATAAGGTTTTTTGTATATAGATACGTTACAAAATGCTGAAAGCTTAAAATGAAAACATATTAAATAACTATACTAATATATAAAGCTAAAGAGTTTGCTTGTTTGTTTGAACGCGTCATCTCAGAAACTACTGGTTCGAAGTGAATAATTATTTTTGTGCTGGTTAGAGCATTTATTGAGAAAGGCTATAGCCTGCATTGTGACTAATAGGAGCGATGAAACTGTGGGAAATGGTGAAAAAACGGGGAAAATTTATCATCCTTGGGGTTTCCATTGCGTAGGCTGCGAAAACGGTTCAAGATACCCAATAAATATGTAGAAAAGAATGATTTCTCTTTAAATGACCTTAAAAGTCCACGACAGTATATTTCTATCTTTTAAGATTAACTTGCAAGAACGACAGGAGTTGAAGAGTTGACACTATTCAACGCGTACGAAGTCGCTGACTTAGCTAGTATTTAATAAATGTTGGCGTTCTCTCAATATATTCATGACTGATAAATATATTGAGAAAAGGTAAACAATAGTAAAATATGTGTGCCACTTTATTTTAATAGCAAGTTAAAAAATGCAAAGTAGGCTGTGATGACCATGTACTGAAACATTGGTCAATCAATATAACTGGTTTTATTTTCTGGGTTAGAGGAAATGGTTATTTTCGTTTTTCATTCCATGCGCTACGTGAAACTTTGTAGTGCAATATAGACATATTTATTAGTATATCGATAACATACAGTACAGTACAGTATGTGGAGAACACGGTCACTTTGTGGAAAATAATCATGTCGAAGTGACCTTCTGTATGTTGATATTTATTTATTTATTGGTGAACATTGTAAAAAGGATCGCATATTGGTTAGCGTACATACATACAGACAAATAGATATCATTAATTTATAAGATTGACACTCTGCTTCTATTAAATAAACATTCAAAATAGTCCGATTACTTTATTAGTGTAAAGATTACAAAGATTCAAGAAAATTCCTATTTGTGTAAAATTGTAATTGAAAATCAATGTAGTAAGATTTTCTACACAGCCTAAAGGCCCGATATCACGCACAATTACCCAAGAATTGCTATTGGCAAGCACGCAATTCGCAATATTTAATAAAAAAATAACTAGATTATTATTAAAATTTGTCTCGGCTAGCCAAGACCGCGGCCTTCAGGTTTTTCGCAAAGGTATTGCGCCGGTCGTTAGCCCGTGGCGGGTTGCCGCAACGTATTCAGTAAAAAATTCGTTACAAGATTTTTTGATTGCGTTCAAAACGTGACGCTAAATGTAAAACAAATTGTTATTTGTTATAAATTGACGCAATTCGCAAAATATTCTTACACTTGTTTTGGATATTTTTATTATATGTTATGGAGTCTTTTTTTTATGACAGGTAAGGAGAGTTTATGACATATAAGTGATTCATTCGATGGATTGTAGAATACCAAAATCAGATGCACTATCGACCACTTTTTTTATTGCATATTAACTAAAGTAAAAAACAAACTTAATGTCTTTTTTAAATTGAAATACTTTAACGGTTTAAATGAAACACTTTAATGGTTTAACTTATTTAAGCAGATATCCGTGGTCACGGGGAGGTCTCCCCCGTGACCACGGCTGCTGCAAGTCATCCGAAACGTCGGGCCGAAATTAAAATATCATTTTCAAATAAGTTTAACTAATATATCGCGTTTTAAACTGTTAAAGTGTTTTATTTAAATGTGTACTACTCGCGTAAACTATAGACAGTATTTACTTTAACGGTTTAAAACGCGATATATATTAGTTAAACATATGTTAAAATTATTGTCTCAACTATTAGATGTAATTTGTTAGTTAAGTAGGTAGGTAGTAAATACTGTCTGTTGTATACGCGAGTAGTACACATTTAAATAAAACACTTTAACGGTTTAAACCGCGATATATATTAGTTAAGATAATTTTAACTATTGCTCGCTACGAATGGTATGCAGCAGCCGTAGTCACGGGGAGGAACATCGGGACGTAGTTAAAAATAATTTGTAAACAAGCAATACACGTTATAATGAGTCTAATTAACTTCACTACGTTTATAATGATGTCTTGGATACTAAACTAGGATTTCTGTTTGTTTGGCGACTTTTGGTTCGGTGGTGAATGGTTTCTATGGCGACAAATAAAATCTAATACATATGAGTAGCCGTGGTTTGAACCAGTATCACAAAATAATAAGTTTCCTAGCTTCCTGTAATCACAATTTATAAGTTAAACCAACTTATTACACTCTATCGATCTGCTTTAGGTTGGGATACAATGACAAAACTAAGCAGTCTATCAAACAATCGGTGTACCATCGATTGAAATCAGGCAAACAATCGTCGTCGCGTCCGAATTCGAAAGAAAGTTTAGGTCCGGTTCGCTATTCGGTCTGTTGACTGAGTCTCAGTGAAAGTCTGTAAATAGAGCCTTCTACCGCGCCTCGTCCCCGCGCTTGGTCGTTTGTCGTGGAATATTTGATATATTCGCCACCGGCCGACCTTTGACCATTCTTCTGATAAATATGAGAAATAATATATGCTTACATACCTTGTAACGTATTATAGAATTTAAGTCAAAATAATCATGGTGAATTAATAAATACTTCAATTGAGATGAGATATTGTAGGTATATATATTTTTTTATTTTTCATTATTATTTCTATCGCATTGAATAAATAATTTTTCAGCTTCAAACCGCGCCTAATGTATATAAATATTTTTTTTAGAGTATATACTATTATTACATGGAAAGTGAAGAAGCAAATATTATTGCGAAATCACAGAGATTTTTCACGCTTTGTAAAAAAATGCACGTGTGTGTAAAACACAAATATAAGTGTGTCTGTTACAATTTTATTATTTATACGTATACCGCCTTTTGTGCATTCAGTTCAGACCAAAACTATTATTTTTTGCCAAAATAAGAACTCAGGTTGCCTGTGTAAGTAAAGCCACGCATAAGTACACATTTAAATAAAACACTTTAAAGGTTTAAAACGCGATATATATATATCAATTAAACTTATTCTAGAGTCTCCCACGTGACCACGGCTGCTGCAAAGCATTCGAAACGTCGGGCCGTAAAATAATTCAAATAAGTTTAACTAACGTATATCGCGTACAAACAGTTTAGGTGTTTTATATAAATTTAATAGCCACGTATGAAGATAAATAAATAAAAAAAAGTATATTGTTTCAATATATAAGGAGAAAATAAACTCTTTATATACCTATCTAATGATCGAGACAGAAGACTAACGTCTAGTGTATCTAAATATAGACCGGACCAAAGCCAGCCCCCAGCCTTGAGGTAGGTTAACGCTGGAGGCTCTAAGGCATTTACCGCAAGCCATTGTGAATCAGCACCGTGAAAATCGAAAACTTGATTTTAATCACGCGATTGCCGACCCAATAATACAATGTCAAGGTTGAATTTCCCATGTACAAATTCGGCAGTTACGACCTATGGACATCGCGGCATGCTTTACGCTACTGACATACTTCCGCGTAGTACCGTTAGCCGTCCCTGTTCCGTTCTTCCGTCTCTTTCGTTCTTATTTAAATTTATATATCTGTTTCGCTCGACGTGCGACAATTTTTCGATGCGGGCACAGCACGTGGGTTGGCCCGAAAATTGAGATCGTGATAGGATTTTTTAATTTTGAGTGGGGTGAATGTGGGTAAGAGGGCCGGACTTAACAAGATCGTGTGTTTGAAAAGGATATAACTATAATAACAATATAATTGAGTACATGGACTTATTGCTCCTAAGGTAGCATAGCCATGCTCATCAACTGTTCGTGGGGTTCACCACCGATTCCAACATGTTAGTGATCAATTTTAACCAATACAACATATAACAAAATTCACACTTTCTAATTAATATGTAAAATTAAATATGAAATATATTATACTGTACCGAAACGATATTCATGAAAAAGCAGTCACAAAAAAAAACAATATTTATAGAATATACGGTATTCCTAAATAAAAAATATGAACTATATAAGGGGCCTCATTCAAAACTATTCTATTAAAAATACTAATAGTAACTTAACGTGCATAATTAATTCTGTTTTGTATATCTTGACACGAATACAAAATATGCCAATTACAAGTGGAGGAAACAACATGTGCAGCTTATAGCTTCGTAAATAAAATGTCAGGAGTGTATTTTTATGTAATTTATAAGAAGTGCGAATTTGGTTTCTCACTAACAACACAGTTAGGAAATCACAAATCAAAATATTAAAGAGCCGTGAAGTTTAATCAGGTTTCCGATTCAGTCTGTGGAATACCAAAT